CTAAATTACTTGAACTATTCCTTGTGTTTTTCCACTGGATTTTCATATTGGAAGATAAAACTTTATTCATATTGTAAAATCCAGGAAAATCTAGAGCTGGGAAAGATAAAAATGTTTTGAAGCGTTGACAGTTCCAGGGAAAAAGCAAAATACTTTGAGATGAGAAAACAGGTAAGTTCACAGGCACCTAAAGGTCAGGGTGACAACTGAGGCAGGATATGAAAGGAGAGGTGAAAACATGCAGTGAAATCCAGCTTCTAAAATATGGGCAGAATCCCGCAACTGTCTTTCGGACTATGGAAATCCAGAGCGCAGAGGTTCTTGACAGACAGTTGTGGAAGTGCAGAAGTACAGCTAGGAGATGATTAAGATGTTCATAAAGATTTCAGAGTGAGTCAGATAAGATGCTGTACCCAGGTAAAGTCTAGGTCTGGCACTGTCTTGCAGGAGATGGTGGTGAAGAAGGAGATAGCAAGATGTTTGTGGTAGGTAAGTGCTATGCTGTGAAAGATGGTCAGTGGTTCTGAATTTAAAGTATGAGCTTTTAGTTGTCTTTGTTTCTACTGTTTCACAGATCTGAACTTCCAGTTTCCCCAAACTTTTATGAAGCACGTAGGCAACACAAATGTCAGCAAAGGATTTCTTAAAAACTGTTTTATGTTACATCAACAGTGTTAGTGAGGGGGAAAAGCTCATACCTGGGATAAGAAGGGTGGGTTTTTTCCTCTTAGAATTGTAGAAAACAGCAAAGATAGCTGTAGATATTTTTCTTTTTTTTGTAGAAAAGCAAAAAGCAGCCAAAGTAACACTTACAAAGTGAGTTAATTCACCACCGTCTTCCTAATTCAGAGGCTTCTTCTGTGTATTACTCCTGGTATAAGAAGCTGCAGATTAAAAATAACAAAGCTTAATAAGTTTCTCTAGTACATGATAATATCTCAAATGGTAAGGGTTTGGGGTTTTTTTTTTGTTTGGTTTTTTTTTTGTCCTCTCCAAAACAAACAACATCCTCCCCCCTGCCCTTAACCCATAAAGATCTTACAGCTTTTATGCTGCTCTTAAAAGGAGAAATGGTGTGGATAATGGTAGAGTAGCAGAAACCTGAGTTTTTTCAGGAGGAGGTAGAATCCTAGAACTAAACCTCAAGTGAAGCAGACACCTAGCTTTGTGCTGGATGAGGAGGTTGTTCTGTGTGTCAGCTGAGTGCAGTTTTCTGTCCTGCTGCATTGCAAACCCTGCCAGTGGTCTGGTGTTACGAGTCGTGCTCCCTTACCATGTTCAGAGTAGACCTCTGGATTGAATACAGCTTTGTTTTGCAAGAATGCTCAGTAGCTGTTAATTTCAAAATGAGGGTTCCCAACAGGATTCATTCTACATCGTCATGCTCCACCTCAAAGTCTCTGCGTATTATTTTAAGTTTCTGCTTCTCCCGGCTGTGTATTAAACAGTTGACAGGGTGTGTCTGTGCTGGTAGTAGGGAGATTCAGAGAACTTGAGTGCTGTGCTCTTGAGTAGTAAAAGCAGTAGTTGCTATCTTTGTATCTGAACTCTTTTTAGATAGGCCCCTTCCTGGGCCATGTATGGAGAAGCGTACTGTTCTGTGAAAGATGTAAAAGCTTTAGCTACTGTAAATTGTGATGCATTTAAAATTACAACACTCCTTATAAGAACAAAACTATGTAACTTCAGTAAATGTGCCAGGAAAATCTAGAGCTGGGAAAGATAAAAATGTTTTGAAGCGTTGACAGTTCCAGGGAAAAAGCAAAATACTTTGAGATGAGAAAACAGGTAAGTTCACAGGCACCTAAAGGTCAGGGTGACAACTGAGGCAGGATATGAAAGGAGAGGTGAAAACATGCAGTGAAATCCAGCTTCTAAAATATGGGCAGAATCCCGCAACTGTCTTTCGGACTATGGAAATCCAGAGCGCAGAGGTTCTTGACAGACAGTTGTGGAAGTGCAGAAGTACAGCTAGGAGATGATGAAGATGTTCATAAAGATTTCAGAGTGAGTCAGATAAGATGCTGTACCCAGGTAAAGTCTAGGTCTGGCACTGTCTTGCAGGAGATGGTGGTGAAGAAGGAGATAGCAAGATGTTTGTGGTAGGTAAGTGCTATGCTGTGAAAGATGGTCAGTGGTTCTGAATTTAAAGTATGAGCTTTTAGTTGTCTTTGTTTCTACTGTTTCACAGATCTGAACTTCCAGTTTCCCCAAACTTTTATGAAGCACGTAGGCAACACAAATGTCAGCAAAGGATTTCTTAAAAACTGTTTTATGTTACATCAACAGTGTTAGTGAGGGGGAAAAGCTCATACCTGGGATAAGAAGGGTGGGTTTTTTCCTCTTAGAATTGTAGAAAACAGCAAAGATAGCTGTAGATATTTTTCTTTTTTTTGTAGAAAAGCAAAAAGCAGCCAAAGTAACACTTACAAAGTGAGTTAATTCACCACCGTCTTCCTAATTCAGAGGCTTCTTCTGTGTATTACTCCTGGTATAAGAAGCTGCAGATTAAAAATAACAAAGCTTAATAAGTTTCTCTAGTACATGATAATATCTCAAATGGTAAGGGTTTGGGTTTTTTTTTTTGTTTGGTTTTTTTTTTGTCCTCTCCAAAACAAACAACATCCTCCCCCCTGCCCTTAAC